CATGCTTTCGACCACAGCATCGCTGGTATGCTCATGCTTTGGGATGTGAGGAGGGTCTGGACAAAGTCGATCCCTTCACCCACGTCGAGGATGACATGGTCAAGGCTGGTGCTATGCTTGCTACGGGCATCTTCAACTCCGGCGTCCGCATGGACTCCGATCCTGCCATTGCTCTATTGGGTGACGAAGACAACATCAACTCTAAGAACAAGAATATTCGTCTGGCTTCCATCATGGGTCTCGGCCTCGCATATGCAGGTTCTAATAAGACAGACCTGCTTGAGGTTCTCCTTCCTATTGTCACCGACACCAGCCTCGACATGCAACTTTCTGCCATGGCTGCCCTGTCTCTTGGCATGATTTTCGTCGGTTCGGCAAACGGAGACGTGACTGATGCCCTGATGAACACGCTCTTGGACGAGGACCGAACCAAGCAGCTCAAGGATAAGTGGACACGCTTCATGGCCCTTGGCCTTGCTCTGCTCTTTTTCGGTCAACAGGAAGAAGTTGACGTCATCTTGGAAACTCTAAAGGCGCTCGACCATCCCATGGCCAAGTCTGCATCCGTACTTACCGAAGTATGTGCGTGGGCAGGTACTGGTGCCGTGTTGAAGATCCAGCAATTGCTTCACATCTGCAACGAGCACATTGAAGAGGACGATGAGAAGAAGGGCGACGAGCTACTACAGTCATACGCTGTCATTGGTCTTTCATTAGTCGCCATGGGTGAGGACGTCGGCCAAGAGATGATTCTCCGCACTCTTGGCCACCTAATGCATTACGGCGAGGCCAACATCCGCAAGGCTGTGCCTCTCGCTCTCGGTCTCATCAGCCCCAGTAACCCGCAAATGAAGGTCTACGACACTCTTTCACGATACTCTCACGACAATGACAATGACGTTGCCATCAACGCAATCTTCGCAATGGGTCTCTGCGGTGCTGGCACAAACAACGCCCGTCTTGCACAATTGCTCCGACAACTAGCGAGCTACTACCACCGCGACCCCAATGCCCTCTTCATGGTGCGCATAGCCCAAGGTCTCTTGCACGCAGGAAAGGGCACGCTTTCGCTCAACCCCTTCCACACGGACCGACAGGTACTATCTCGCGTCGCCGCCTCAGGCCTCCTCACCGTCCTCGTCTCTCTCATCGACGCAAAGTCCTTTATTGTCGGCGACTCACATTACCTGCTCTACTACCTGACCACGGCCATGGCACCGCGCTTCCTCATCACACTCGATGAGGAACTCAAGCCGCTTATCGTCAACGTTCGCGTTGGTCAGGCAGTGGATATTGTAGGCCAGGCAGGTCGGCCAAAGACCATTACCGGATGGCAGACACAGAGCACGCCTGTGCTACTGGCACACGGCGAGAGGGCCGAGCTCGAAGACGAAAAGTATATTAGTTTGACTAATGTGCTGGAGGGCGTTGTCATTCTGCGTAAGGTATGTTATCATCTATCCCCATTCTAATATAATATAACAAGGCACAATGCTGACTTTGATACCAAATAGAACCCAGAATGGGAAGACTGAGCGAGCGAGCGGGCCACAATGCACACTGCCGCCGGAGGAGGAGGAGAATAGAAGTAGAAGAAAGGACATGTGATACTAACACATCACATGACTATTTGCAGACAGTCTGCATCTAAATGAAATAAACTTGCACACTTTGCACATTTTCATAGAATCAAGTCACGACATCTTGTCTTCTGCCTGGTTCACAAAACAAAACACTATCGATATCCTCTACCTAAAGGTTGCATTGGATAGCTACTATGGGCAGTGCAGTTTGTGCGTCGGTTGTATACATATATAGATGTGCAAGGGTGGGTGTGGAAGTGGAATTAAAGTATTGATTCAAAATTTCTTGTGTGTTACTGCTGTGAGGTCGACGTGGAGTGAGTATGAATATGGCTGAGATGAAGATCAAGTCGTCAACCCCAAATACGACGAGTATTAGCATTGGGAGAAAAGGAAGCAACATGGAAGAGACTTGACTTTGAAGAGATTTGGTAGAGCTATCGTCACATGAGGGAATCGATAAATCTTCAGTTTACCTCAAAACACACAACAGGCGGAATAGGTCATCAAAAGATACAACAAACAAAACATGACATCACAAGACACACCAAGCAAACATCACATCAAAAACCATCAAATCAATCGAGTTGGAAGAAGATCGATTATACGACGAACTATCGAAGCTACGACAAATCCGACCATAGACCTACCCTCCACCACGGAAACCTACCCCTGCATCGATGAGAAAAACATACACACTAAGATTTTTTTGGTCCGCTGGCTTGCCCAGATCCTAACAGATACTTCTAAAATGTGAAGAAGCCGCCCAAGCATAACGTTCGAAAGAAAACACGAGACTCAAGAGTCGATGAGAAGGATATGTTCAAGGTGCAGGGGCCAAGAACAAGAGTATTAGGGCCCAAGACACGAAAATGACGGCCAGAACGAGAGACTGAAGGAATGACGAGGGCAGTGAGCAGCTCGGAAGCTTCATGCCATGACATATTGAGATAGTCGATCCTTTGTAGCGTATGTTGGTGGTATATTGTCGATGCCAGAACGAGTCTCCAAAGAGATGTGGCTGGTGGATGTTGACGGAGCGATCATGAAGAATAGGACGTACACGAAAGTTATATCGACGGTCGACTCAGAAAGACGGTGCGAATCTAATCGTTGCGGGCGGAGAGGCGGCTTGGTGAGGAAGACTTGTCATCGGTCTTGACCGGAGTGGCGGGGTTGGTCTTGATGCCGACACCATTCTCCGAAGTGCCATCGTCGCTCTTGATGGGGCCACCCTGGGGCACGTAGTATGAACGGGCAGGGCCGAGAGTGGATGGCACTGGGGGCGACCAGGGCTGACGCTGGCCGCGCATGAACAATTCGAACTCATTGGCGTGGCCAGCGGGAATGGGCGACACGGAGAGGTAGCGATCAGGCGTGCCCAGCGCCCTAGCCTGAGCAACACCAACCTCGTACTCCGCAGCACGGAAGACACGACCAGCTGCAGTCTGCTGCTTCAGCATCTTCTGCTCATGGGTATCCGAGAAGCGAATCTGGATGAGATGCTCCTCACCACCTGTCTTGGAAACCGGGGTGTTGTTGAACTCTTTGATGACCTCATCGCAGATGTCGCGAGTCTCGAAGCTGGTAATGGTTAGCCATGCTCAAGATGAAGAACAGGATGACTCACCGAGCGAAGCCAACACCACGGCCAGTACCAGAGGGGTCGCGAAGGATCCTGCTGGAGCAGACCTTGTGGGGTGCGAAGATACCGGCAAGTTCCTGAAACTGTCAGTGTCTTGCCATGAGAAGGGCGAGGATGCTACATACATGCTCATTCATGTTCTTGGGGATGTTGGACACGTAGAGGTTGGTGTTGGCCTCGTCGGCAAACTTCTTGAGCTTGGAGTAGAAGGATTCCTTGAAAGAGTTAGTCCATGGCAGTGTGTATTGAAAAGATACCAACATACCCGAGCGAAGCTGACTTCTTATCCGAGATAGTGGAAGCCTCGGATGCAGTCCTCGGCATCCTCGAAGTTGTGGTACTTGATGGAGGCCGAACCTACGAGGGCAGTCAGTAGATGAA